AGCAACTAAATATTAACTGATAATTTATGGCAAAGGGGTGGGATCAATAAGTGTTTACTTCTTCCCTTTCAACATGTAAATTAATCAGAACGTTTTTTTGTATGTAATTTGTACAGTATTTTTTTCTCTCTTATTTTCTTTTCTAAATGCACTTGTATATTGTTCACATGTTGAAATAAATTACCAATCAATCAATCAATCAAATGGATCATCATCATGCCGTATTGGTCCATTTGATCGACCATTGTTGTTATTTATTTTATTTTCAGTTGTTACAGACGGGACAGACATGGCTGTGGGACAGGAGAGGGACAGTGAGAAAGGAAACTTAAAAAGAGAAAGAAAAAAAACTCCCGGATCACCTGTTGAGAGAAAAAAAAAAGAAAACAAGCAAAAAAAGAGAGCAGCATAATAAACACAACACCATTGATCTAGCTAAGTGTGAATAACAGTAAATACTAAATATTGAAAGTTGTTGTGCAGCACGCATCGACAGCGCGCAATTTACTTTGAGCTAGCAGTCGGGAAAGGTGTAGTTGTGTCTGTGAACAGTGAACACCTGTGTGCACACCTGTGTGGGTGAGCGTGCTTGTATTCAAAAAGGGTATTTGCATGTATTAAACAGAAAGCTCCTGTGTTGGATACACTTTGTAACAGCGTTCAGTTGGTGTCCAGCAGCAATGAGCAAGTGGTCATTGTTGCACTTCACTGAGACAGGAGCGTCCTTTGGTGACAACACATACATACAGAACAGATTCAGAAAAGGATGCTTTGGCTTGTTCAATTACCAAGTTTGCCCAGCAGGGGGCTCTGACTGTATCGTTCTCAGCACTGCCTGCAGTACATGTAGCAGAGTACATGTCAGAGAGCTCAGAGATAATAAAATCATTGGAGAAATAAATTGCTAAAGTTATTTAAATATCAACCAGTTGTTAATGAAGACGCAGTGTGCATCAGTTTGATATTAATATTCCCACTGACACATTTGGGTTCTTCATATTCTTCTTTCAAACGAGCAGTGACAGCTGTTGAATACGAACAATAAGAGAATTGAAGAGTGAAACTAGCTACTTTGTGCGATGTGTCGTCCAGTCACGTGAACACAGAGTGGCCAAGCGTGGAAACAGGTTGAGGTTCAAGCACCCACTGATAACTCCGATGAAACACACTGATTTAATCCTGTAACAGTGTAACAATGTTCCAGCACTCAACTTCCACGTTTCCACACAGTCTGTGAACTTCATGAAAGGAATGCTTTCCATTCTTGGTCTAAGCAACAAAACTTAAAACTGCAACAAGTGAAAGTCCTTCATTTATAATTTTACCAAAGTTTCATCATGAAAAAACGAATTAAAGTATTAAAAGTTAAAGTTCTCTGTGTAGAAAAGCACTTTAATGCCATTATTTTCACTCATGCATTACTGTCAGGATTCAGCTGTTAGTTTTTTATATTTCATATCTAACTGCATGTATCTACTCACTAAGATTGCTTTGCTTTATCTGGGCCCAGATTGTCTGTGCAGAGGAGCTACGAGCTCAGTGAACGGTTCTAGGGGAATACCATCTCGTGACTTCCAGGATGGGGTTTTACCCTGATGTGTTGTTGCAATGGTAATCCTGCTCAGCATGAGAGGAAACGTCATTTGTTGTATGAGTTCAGCAACCAGTGGTGCAAAGCTAACAATTGAACACCTCTAATTTAAAAAAAACCTGCCTGGATGCACCACTGGTTGGTCTCAGATAGCCGGACTCAGCTGCTGAAGGAGAGCTGGTCATGACTGGGCTTGGGGACAGCTCGATGAACCTGATTCTATGTTAAGGTCTTGTTGAAAGTCATTCCTTGATGCGGCAGCTCATGCGGTAGAGTGGGTGGTCTACCAACTGGAAGGCTGGTGAATCGATCCTCAGCTCCTCTACTTGAGGTGTCCTTGGCAAAAGACAGAGTCCACAGTTGCCTGTGATCCATATATGTGCATGTAGGATATATGTGTGCATGATTGGGTGAATGAAACGTGTAGTAGGGAGGGCCCAGCTTGAGTGGAAAGGTGCTATAAAGATGCTATATAAGTACCAGTCCATTTACCATTTACTGAGGTGTTTCCAAGACAACCAGGAGACATAATCTCTCCTGTGTCTGCTCCAAGGTCTCCTCACCAACAGCTCACCTCAAACTCCAGCAGGCATCCTAATCAGATGCCCCGACCAATGTTGAGGACATATGTAACTCAAACTTCTACTTAAAAACCCGGGTAACTGTACTCAGGCTCTGTTCTGCCACAGCTTGTATTGTATAAAGGTCAAGTACCCACGAACTCGAGAAAATATTGTGAGAACCATCAAATTAATAAAAGCAAATGAAAGACGTGTAATTACTCGTCCATCATGTCAGACATTTGTGTTATTAGACACACTTTTGTTAGACAATAAGAAAAGTGAAAACAGTTTGAGATATTATAACCCAGACTCGTCTGCTCGATGGATCAAAGTGTGAGAGAAAAGCTTGTAAAGCTCCAGGTTAAACCCAATGATGCGTGCTGCCTTATTCAGCTTTAATGTGACGAATTTGGCTCTTTTGCTGTTTTAAATCATTCATTTTACCTTTTGGTTTTGCTTGAGAGTGTGACAGTGAAGGAGAGCTCTCCCGTCATGGTGCAGCTGCAGATGACATGCAGAGAGCAAAGGGCTTAACAGCTCTTCAATTGATCAAGTTATTGATAGAGGAGCTGGTCACATCTGGGCCTCAATCCAAGGGCAAAGGGCCAGCTTATTACACAGGGAATAAACACACACATTCACACAAGGGGGGACTCACAAACACAAACACAGAGATTTGTTGGATCCTGTCAGATCCTTCACCGTCTCCACAGAGCTGCTTCCCTCGTCCTCCACTTCCACCACAATACAAAAGGCCAAGGTGGAGGCTAGCTACAGGCGATGAATGCACCTTAAAAGGGATTTTCCAATAAATAATTTCCCAATGAAAAGAAAAAAAAGTT